TCGGACTTCCTCTTGCACGATCTAGAGCCGGGCGGCACAGATGAGATGGGCTGGGCGTACTGAGCAACTGTCTGAGAAGGCTGGGAAGCATGATAATAAGAAGGAACTGGAGCCAATGGAATGAGACAGCTCTCGACCTCCTGAGCTCGGCTCACGGTATCAGCATAGGACATCGGTCCATGACTTCCCACCAACTCACGGATCCTCTGGTTGAGACCCTTGAGAAATTTCTGGGCCTTCTTAGTATCAGTGTTCACCGCATCACCCGCAAAAAGGCACATACGGGTGAAAGTGTGGATGTACTCATCCACCGAGGAGCTGCCTTGCTGCAAGTGATAGAATTCGTGCTCCATTTTGTCCCAAAGGCTCTGGGGAGGAACTTGTTGCGCACCATCGTCTTCATTTGCTCCCAAGTGAGAGCATGAAGCTCCGCCTCGGGCTTCCGGGCCCAAAGCTCAATCCACCAGTCTGAGGCATCTTCCTTCATCTGATATGCCGCAAGAGACACACGCTGACGGTCGGGGAGGGGGAGTACAGCAAAGATTTTGTCCAGCTCCTTCATCCACTCAAGCACTGCTGTGGGGTTCTCCGTCCCCGTGAAAGTTGGCGCATTCATGCGCTGAAACTGAACGATAAGCTGAGTAAGGTCCATGGCCGGAGGGGCCTGGTGCTGCCGGGGCGGAGAAGGCTGCGGGGATGGTTGACGATTACGGTTGTTGTTGCGAGTATTCATGCTTCTACATTGAATAAGTCGAACGAGGTTTAGCACAAGAACAAACAAAATCATCAATACTTACTGAAGTCTAGAGTTCGCCAATTAAACACTAGAGTTCAATTAAATCATGGTGGATAGATCCTAAGCCCCAAATATAACAATTATACTACAAGTAGTTACCACATGTGTTCCATTTACATATCAAGTATTTTCATTAATACTCAAATCAAACATACCTTAAGCAGCGCGGAGTGACGGAGACGAGTGGTCATAACACAAGGTCTAAACACATAATCACATATGTGCCAGTCTACAGAAACGCAGACTGGCTCTGATACCAAACTGTAACGCCCAACTTTGATTTTACAGAAATTTCGAATTTTCCAAAAAAACCAGTATAAATTTTTCAAAATCATTTTCGAAAACTTAGGGGGTGTTAACTAACATTTTTCATATCCCAAGTCTTATCTGGGCCTATGGGGATTCATTACCCGGTTTTCACAATCGGTTTTCATTAACCAACATAGACACATGAAATAAATAACCAAACATCAATCCCAAAACGACAAAGGTTCATAAGTTTCAAAACCAACACACAAGGTTCGAAAATAGTTTGCACAAAAACATGACGTGCAACAAACTTATTCAAGTTCAGCAGAAGTAATTAAAATGCATAAGTAATTAGACCGACCCAACTCGTCCCTTCCTCGCCACCCGGCTGTTGCTTAACCTGCATCGGTGAAGAGCAGGTGGGGATGAGCACAAGATGATAAACGTGCTCACCACTATGCACATATATAATAATAACAGTTGGTATGGTTAGAGTATGAACATAAAGCAATCATTTGTAGCGTCTCCAAATCACATCACATCATAACATATTACCCACGTGTACACATCTCTCATTAGCCAAGGATAGGGGATTCATTACCCTAACTCATGGGGGTACGTGCCACTGTAACGGACACGACCTTTCATTAGGTCTTTACGAAGACTTGCCTCGCAAGGGCAACCGTACCGTAACTCGACGGGGACAACCGTACCGACGGCCGACATCGGCTCACGCCGATAGGCTACATGATTTACATACATACTAAAATCATACCATCTCAACAAGAAACACACATATATGGCATAGCAATTTTTGAATAAGTAAACCCACCTGGATAGCTCGGTAGAAAATAGCACACAATCACAAGTACGTTGGATGAGGGCTCGACTCGTCAAACACCTACATTTATGCGAGATAATATATCAATAATCTATCTCACTACTCAAACTTAACATAAAACCCATACTTAATAAAAATTAAGTCTTAAGGGTTTTAATCGGATTTTTCGTGGACTTGGAACTCTCTCGTTTTCAAAAATATGACTCGGAGAACTAAAATTTGGAGTCTCGGGACTTAAAATAATATTTCTCAAAATTTTATTATTTTAAAAATATTTTTAAAATTGAAAACGGTACGAAAAATGGGCTCTGGAACACAAACTTAGCTTAAAATACGAATTGGGCTAATATGATAAAACTGGGCCAATAATTTGCTAAGGAATTTGGGCCAACACACCCATTTGGGACTAATATGCTTAATTGGGCCGCTCAAAGGGCTGGCCCAACACACATTACTTCTGAAAGTACGCGGGCCGAGAGAGGGCTGGCCGCGGGCTCTCGGGCTGCGCATAATGGGGCAGATTGGGCTGAGGGAGGCGGGCCGCGCGCGCGGGCTGGAATCGGGCCTGGCGGCCCGCGCATTTTTGAACAGGCCTGGGAGAGAGAAAAAAAGAAACTGGGTTGCGGGCAGTGGGGTTCGATCTCGCGAACTCTCGCGGGGAAAATGGGCGCCGAAACCACTGGGCTATGTGCGCTGCTTGTTTTTCAATTTGCAAAGTTTAGTAATTGAATCTTTAAAGAGAACTGATACTGAATTTGCAGAAACAGAGCTCGAGCTGGACACAAAATTCAACCAAATTTGACAACATCATTCCCAATAGCAACAGGGTTTCGAGATTTACCAACAATATCAAATTTTCAGAGTTTTGAAAATTTAGAAAACCGGGTTTGTTCGGAAATACGAAACATCAAAAACACGGTTTGAAAACAACGAACAAGACGACCCAAAATAAATTATAACCAGGCTATGAGAAGACCAAACGAGACACCGAATTCACACAAATTTATCACAGCTGCAACAATATTCGACTTACAGTAAACGAGAGTTCCGATATTCCACGAAAATTCACGAATATACGAATTATACGTACGAACATACGAATCAACAAATAACAACAAACAAAGTTCCGATTTCAAATAAAGTTTCGGTAA